CACGTGTGTTGAAACGCTGGCGCGTGCAACGACGGCGACTCTTCGATAGAAATTGATTCCTACGCCCCGTTTGCACCACGATACCTTTGCTGATCTCGTCAAGGACCATAAACCGCCATCACTCGGACTCCGGTCATCCTCGCAGCAGCGGCGGCTTGTGGCTGGCCGTCAAACAAAGACGGCGGTCACCGCATCGCGCCCTTTCGCAAGCGCTTCTACGGCCGTCTGGAATGCTCTTCCTTCCGAGCTGTGCACTTTCAAAAATCATCTGCATTGACGAACTTATTTATTTCGAACTGCTTTTTGCGTTTAGTTTGTTGTCTTTCCCCCACACCTCCAATAAGCGCTGTTGGCTACGTAGAGTACAAAATAAGCTCAACATACAAAAAGACAAAAATCTCCCAAATAGCCTGAACAGAGTGTTGGAGCAAGTGCTGTTAGTGGCCACCTGTGAAGGCCGGAACTGTGGCACACGAGGGGGTGGGTGGCCAGCAACCACGCCCGGCCGCGTTTGCCTCCCCCAGCGACGATGTTTACTGCACACCGCACCAGGTACTCATTTGAGGCTGAGTCGACCAAGGGGAGGCCCAGGACCGGTTCAGATAATCGTCACCGGTGTTCGCCGCGAGCGGGAATCGAACCCGGGTCGCCAGGTTCATAGCGCAGCGCGCTAACCGCTACACTACCGCTCCCTCTACAACAAACACACACATCAGGGTCCAAATTCAAAAACCACATCGCAAACTCCTCAGTTAAAATTCCGCACGCTGCATATGCAATCGTCGCCTGCTACTGGCAGAGGGACTCATGGCCCAAGGTCGCTCTCACAAAGGCGACCCCTTCCTGGTCTCTTGCGCTCTCACCGGGGAAATCGACTCGGAACTCCGAGCGACGGAGGGGCTCTGAGAAATGGAACGGGCCGATCATTTTGTTCAGGGAGCCCGAACCCCCCCCCCAAAAGAAACAATTAAAGTTCTCATTCTGTTCGACAGCTCGGAAACCGTCGTTCGTCAACGGAGCCACCGATTCCTCAGGCTCACGACGCAACCCGTCGGGTGTGAGCGCGAGCGTCGGCCATTTGCGATCCGCGCGAATGATGCACGAACGTGAAATCCGGGTGAAGAAGAGCGATAACTGTGCAGAAAAACAAGAAACGGTACCAACGAGACGGTGAAAATGAGACCGAGTATCTGAACGTAATGGAATAGTAATTTCAGCGGTTGCACTCGATCCCTCCACCGAATGGCGATTCAGTGAAATGACACAGCACCCTGTTACGATCCCATTGAATACCGGTATAGTATTGTGTGCGTCTCATGGATTATCTCATATGTACTATTTCAAAACTATTTTTTATTTTACCAGGTAAGGCCCACCGAGCGATATATAGCTCTTTTTCAGAAGCGACCTGGCCACCACAAATGGTAGGACAGCAGACTAAGTGGGCTCAACGTCGCGTGGACATTCATGGCAGACAAACAACTCGAAAGGCGCGACATCCATTCTAAATGTGGAGGGAATAACCGGATGGGCCTGAGAAAAATCAACGCGACCACGGCGAGAGAAACACGCAGACTCCAAATATACAGCAGGTCAAGGCCATAATTATAATATGTATTTGGGGGGGACACATCCCCCCCAATATTCAAATATGCTCAAAATGTTCCCCCCAATATATTGCTATAAAATAGATTTCTGTTTATATGATTGTGGTTATGGTTGTACTTTATAAATACCTAATCTCTGCCATTACATACAATGAAACAAGAAAATGTAAAAAATAAAAAACAGAGCAATGTAATACAATAACACTATTAGACATTATTGTAAAAAAAAAAGTCCATCCCATGTGTTAGTGATTTTTTTATATTTTAGGCAGGAAATTAGTTTTCAAATTTAGATTTTTTTTCTGGGGGGGGGGGGACTCCCAGACCCCCTGGAAGATTTTTCCCCCCCCAATGTTGACTCCATGGCTACGGCCTTGCAGCAGGTGACAGGCGTCAGGGTCGGGATTGACTCACGACCCGCTGCACACCAGGGCCAGTGTGTACTGCCCCGTCTCATTGCACACCGTTTCGTTTTGTGCATTCATTTGTGCTGCCACGCTTATTTGTTCCGTCTCATTCTGTCGTGTGTGCTGTCTCGTACGTGCTTATCCAGTGTGGTACAATCTCATCTGTGCCGTCATGTTTTCCCAAGGGCCTGCATGGGCGCCACGGTGGTTAGGAGATGTTAACTACCTCGCCTGGTATACAGGAGGTCGTGGGTTCCATGCCGACCCTGACGCCCGCTGCTGTATATTTGTAGTTTCCGTGTCGCTCTTTCTCTCCCCGTGGTCGCGTAGATTTTTTTCCGGGTCCTCCGGTTTTCCCCCTCCACATTTAGAATCAGCGTCACGCATTCAGAATATTTGGCCGCTTAAAATTTCCACACGATGAGCAACTTCGTTATTTATGAATACAAATTAATTCGGTTCAAGTTTGAAAAAATAAGAAAAGGTTTTACCCTTTCTGGAAACAGGTGCTGAGATGTTAAAACACCAAGCAGAAACCTTGTGTAAGGAATCAAGTTCGCATTAACCACTTGTGGTGAACATTCAAATAAACACGCTCTGATAATTACAGTGAGGGAAAAAAGTATTTGATCCCCTGCTGATTTTGTACATTTTCCCACTGACAAAGAAATGATCAGTCTATAATTTAATTGTAGGTTTATTTGAACAGGGAGAGACAGAACAAAAAAATCCAGAAAAACGCATTTCAAAAATATTATAAATTGATTTGCATTTTAATGAGGAAAATAAGTATTTGACCCCTCTGCAAAACATGACTTTGTACTTGGTGGCAAAAAACTTTGTTGGCAATCACAGAGGTCAGATGTTTCTTGTAGTTGGCCACCAGGTTTGCACACATCTCAGGAGGGATTATGTCCCACTCCTCTTTGCAGATCTTCTCCAAGTCATTAAGGTTTCGAGGCTGACGTTTGGCAACTCGAACCTTCAGCTCCCTCCACAGATTTTCTATGGAATTAAGGTCTGGAGACTGGCTAGGCCACTCCAGGACCTATATGTGCTTCTTCTTGAGCCACTTCTTTGTTGCCTTGGCCGTGTGTTTTGGGTCATTGTCATGTTGGAATACCCATCCACAACCCATTTTCAATGCCCTAGCTGAGGGAAGGAGGTTCTCACCCAAGATTTGACGGTACATGGCCCCGTCCATCGTCCCTTTGATGCGATGAAGTTGTTCTGTCCCCTTAGCAGAAAAACACCCCCAAAGCATGTTTCCACCTCCATGTTTGACGGTGGGGATGGTGTTCTTGGGGTCTTAGGCAGCATTCCTCTTCCTCCAAACACGGCGAGTTGAGTTGATGCCAAAGAGCTCCATTTTGGTCTCATCTGACCACAACACTTTCACCCAGTTGTCCTCTGAATCATTCAGATGTTCATTGGCAAACTTCAGACGGGCATGTATATGTGCTTTCTTGAGCAGGGGGACCTTGCGGGCGCTGCAGGATTTCAGTCCTTCACGGCATAGTGTGTTACCAATGTGTTTTCTTCGTGATTATGGTCCCAGCTGCCTTGAGATCATTGACAAGATCCTCCCGTGTAGTTCTGGGCTGATTCCTCACCATTCTCATGATCATTGCAACTCCACGAGGTGAGATCTTGCATGGAGCCCCAGGCCGAGAGAGATTGACAGTTCTTTTGTGTTTCTTCCATTTGCGAATAATCGCACCAACTGTTGTCACCTTCTCACCAAGCTGCTTGGCAATGGTCTTGTAGCCCATTCCAGCCTTGTGTAGGTCTACAATCTTGTCCCTGACATCCTTGGAGAGCTCTCTGGTCTTGGTCATGGTGGAGAGTTTGGAATCTGATTGATTGCTTCTGTAGACAGGTGTCTTTTATACAGGCAACAAGCTGAGATTAGGAGCACTCCCTTTAAGAGTGTGCTCCTAATCTCAGCTCGTTACCTGTATAAAAGACACCTGGGAGCCAGAAATCTTTCTGATTGAGAGGGGGTCAAATACTTATTTCGCTCATTAAAATTCCAATCAATTTATAACATTTTTGACATGCGTTTTTCTGGATTTTGTTGTTGTTATTCTGTCTCTCACTGTTCAAATAAACCTACCATTAATATTATAGACTGATCATATCTTTGTCAGTGGGCAAACGTACACAATCAGCAGGGGATCAAATACTTTTTTCCCCTCACTGTATATATGGGCATTGTCTTTGAAACTGATTGGCCTACACCAGAGAGCAGTCTTATTTATTATGGCCTAGTCTCACCACCAGTGTCAGACCAGAGAACGCGAAAAGGCAAACAGAACCAAGACAATGCACGAAGCAGAGCATTTATAGCTCGGGGGGCAGAGAGGCAGAGGGGGGGTGGGGGAAGAGTGGCGGCGCTACCGACACGCACGGTCGGGAACGACGCCGGCGCCTCCCGCTCCCACGTCTGCGCCGCCTTTGTCGATGTCCGTGTGCGTCTTCATCATCACCGTCGGCCCAAAACACACAGCGCCCACTTGCACCGAAAGCCCAGCCGACTCTGGCGCCTCTCGCTCTCGTACCCGTTTTGTTTGGACGCCTCTCAATTGCGAGCAGCGCAACATTTGGCGGGGAGACCCCTCCGCAACTCCTCCTCCTCCTCCACGACGCCGCCGGCGGCTGCCGCTCTGCCGCGCTCACGCGTCCGGGGGGGGGGGGGGAGGGGTGAATCGTCGTCCGCCCGCACGCCACGAAGCGCCAACTGGAAAAAGCAGAAATGGTGGCGGCACTCGAAAGGGACCCCCCCGGGAAGCGGTTCTGCGGTATCCGCTTCCGCGGGGACGGTCTACGGCACGAAAGGGTCGCGGGGTCGCGGGGTCGCGGGGTCGCGCCGCCTGCCACCCCCGCGGGAGGTCCCGGCCGAATCCTTCGCCTCGTGCCCCGGCGCCGTCGGGGATTAAAATTTGGGGAGGAAAGGAAAAAAAGCATCACAGCCAGAAGACGGGAGGGCGTTCGTTTTTGGTAGGGGAATCCTTCTTTAATAGGGTGTTCGCTAACAACAGCACTTGCCTCAACAGTCTGTAAGGCAAAATGGGGGGGGGAAGGGGGGGGGGCATGTGTGTGTTAGTGTGTGCGTGTGTAGTGGGGTGGGGGAGCAGTAGCGCAGCGAGCCGTCGGCACGCCGCGTAACGAACCCGGCGACCCGAGTTCGATTCCCCCTCATGGCCAACACCGGCGACGATTATTTGAACCGGTCCTGGGCCTCCCCTAGGTCGACTCGACCTGGTGCGGTGTGCGGTGAACATCGGCACGAGGGAGACAAAGGCCGTCGGGCGTGGTGCTGGCCACTCACCCCCTCGTGTGTCGTGCCGTCCGTCATGTGTGCCAATCGCTAAAATCACTTGTCCCAACAGTCTGTTACAGGCTATAGGGGGGACCTTCGTCTCTTGAATGTCAGTAGTGTCACGCTGCACAGAAGCATTCTCAGCATATAATAGAGACCCCGGCTTTAACGGGGTCGCCGCTGTCTGCCCGGAACCGGACAAACGACCACATCTCGCGTCCCGGGGCTGCACTCGCAAGGCTCCATAGCGACCCCTGGGCAAGAGGATCTCCTTCCACCCCAGCAGCATCAGCGGCGGCGGCGGCGGCGGCAGCATCATCGGCGGCTTCCAAATCGCAGTCCCGTCCGGCGACGTCCTCCTCCAAGTCCGGGAAGGCGACCTCCCCGGCGCTCGTCCCGGCGCCGTTGCCGCCGTTGCCGCCGCCGGCCCCTCCTGGCTTCTTGGGAATGCGGAATCCACCCCAGTTTGTGGACGGCCCCGCCGGCGCGGAGCGCGCCGCGCGGGCCTTCGCCGCACCCGCCGCTTGCGCTCCGCTCCTTTTCGACGCCGCCGTGGCCGCCGCGGCCGCCGGTGCCGCGGTCGCAGCGGCACCGGCGGCCGCCGAAGCCGCCGCGGTCGCGCCGGCCGTCGATTTGCTACGTCGGCCCCTCCGCCGGGGGCCCGCGCTCGCCGTGTCCGTGCCGGTTCCGGGGCCCCGTCGCCGGCCAACCGAGGAGGAGGAGCGAGCGCGGTGGCGGCGGCGGCGCCGTTTGCGCCGGCGCGGGGCCCCCGGGCGCCCGTCGGCGTCGCCGGCGCTGCTTCCGCCGTCGCCGGCGCCGCTGCTGCCGCCGTCGCTGCTGCTGCCGCCGCTGCTGTCGCGGGATTTGCGATCGCGCGGAGCGCGCCGGGTTTTCCTTGCCGTGCCCTCGAGGGAAGGCCCTGCAGGAGGAGAGAGAAGTGGGGGGTCGGGGGAAGCTATTAAATCTATGATTCTGATCACAGCAAAACCTCGTTGGTGTATTTGAATGCGGGATCATTCGGCACGGCTGCGCTTTCGGCATATATAGAGTGAGGGAAAAAAGTATTTGATCCCCTGCTGATTTTGTACGTTTGCCCACTGACAAAGAAATGATCAGTCTATAATTTTAATGGTAGGTTTATTTGAACAGTGAGAGACAAAAGGTTAATTTACGTCAGCCAAATACTGTGTAATTTCTTACATAAACCTGTCAACCCATATGGTTCACCCGTATTCTTGTCCACGGAAATTGGGTTTTCAGATCCATACGGCATACGGCCATTCCAATACGGGCTTTGTAGGATGACCGTTGAGATTTCTAAGGGGCACGGGGTGACCAATAAGGTCTGAACTGGTCTGGAATAAGGTAGGGCAACTGATAAGGGGTCGACACAGGCATCTTTACATGCGAGCGCTGCTCTAATTGTGTCGCGGCTGTTCACCCACCAAATGTCAACGGCTCAGCGCCCACGAAACCGCAAACACGTCGGCAAATAAACCGACTGCGGTGAGATGACGCCCGCTAGGCGTTCACCCGCTAGGCGTCCACCCGCTAGGCGTTCACCCGCTAGGCGTTCACCCGCTAGGCGTCCACCCGCTAGGCGTCCACCCGCTAGGCGTCCACCCGCTAGGCGTTCACCCGCTAGGCGTTCACCCGCTAGGCGTTCACCCGCATTCTGCGAACGTGAACAACACATTGAGCCCCATCTACGCGTGTTGTGCATAATCTGTGTTTCAGTTTTATCCGGGCCGCCCCTCCTCCCCGCGAGTTGACTGCATATCGGGGGGGGGGGGGGGGGCGGGTACCAAGGTGGCAAAATGTTAACTGCCTCGCCTGGTATGCAGGTGGTCGTGGGTTCTATCCCGACCCTGATGATGCCTGCTGTATATTTGGAGTCTGTGTGTCTCTCTCTATCATCATCACCACAGTTGCTAGGAGATGTTAACTACCTCGCCTGGTATGCAGGTGGTCGTGGGTTCTATCCCGACCCTGATGATGCCTGCTGTGTGTTTGAAGTCTGCGCGTCTCTCCCAGTGGTCGCGTGGGTTTTAATCTCCGGGTTCTCCTGTTTTTCCCTCCGCAGTTACAATCAACGTCACGCGTCCAACGTATTCGGCTCAGAAAACGTCCACACGATGATGAGCCACTTCGTTGCGCTACCATTTGTGGCCATGTCGCTTCTACGTAGCCCACTGAGCTACGTAGCTCAGTGGGCTTTACCTGGTCAAGTAAAAATAGCAAAAGTCTCAAGTTCAGCGATGAACTTTCATAATATTCATTTACAGATAAACCCGCGCCTCACGGCGTTTAACGACGGCGGGGGGACACGCACGCGCGCAGAGGCCGCTGTCGTCGGCGGCGTCGTCGGCGGCGGCGGAAGGAGACGCCAGGGCGAGCTGCACGCGCCTCCAGAAGAGCTGCTCGTGGAGGCGCGCCAGGGCGCTCTTGAGCTTCTCCCGGCGCAACGCCATGTAGCAGAGGTTCCTGGCCTGCTCCCGCCGGCAACACGGGCACCACGCCGTCACCGTTAGCGATGGGGGAGGGCAGGGACTACGCCATGTAGCAGAGGTTCCTGGCCTGCTCCCGCCGGCAACACGGGCACCACGCCGTCACCGTTAGCGATGGGGGGGCGGGGGGGGCAGGGACTACGCCATGTAGCAGAGGTTCCTGGCCTGCTCCCGCCGGCAACACGGGCACCACGCCGTCACCGTTAGCGATGGGGGGGCGGGGGGGCAGGGACTACGCCATGTAGCAGAGGTTCCTGGCCTGCTCCCGCCGGCAACACGGGCACCACGCCGTCACCGTTAGCGATGGGGGGGCGGGGGGGCAGGGACTACGCCATGTAGCAGAGGTTCCTGGCCTGCTCCCGCCGGCAACACGGGCACCACGCCGTCACCGTTAGCGATGGGGGGGGGCAGGGACTACGCCATGTAGCAGAGGTTCCTGGCCTGCTCCCGCCGGCAACACGGGCACCACGCCGTCACCGTTAGCGATGGGGGGGGGGCAGGGACTACGCCATGTAGCAGAGGTTCCTCGCCTGCTTCCAACCGGCACCACGGGTCGCCTCTGAAAACGAGCTACATAGCTCAGCGAGCCTCCCCTGGTAAAATAAAAATAGCTTCATCGTTCCGTTTCAAAGAATCGCTTTTTATAAAGTTTTAAAAACGTCTCAGAGCAACAAACCAACCACGGCAGGGATGCGTTTCCGATTTTCGAATTGAAGGGAAAACACCGAAAATTCCGCCTCGTTATGGAACGCTGGGACGGTACGAATCATTATAGACAAATCCGAAAACGCGACGTCACGGGAAATGACGTCGCATGCGTGGCACCACGTCCCGGCTCGTCCCGCCAACGCCAAAAGCAGGCGTCACGGGGAGCTGGGCAACGTCACTTCTGAGAGCACGGAAATGGACGTAGCAACATTCCGACCGAATTGCAAATGCACACCGTGTCAACCCATACTGTTTGCCCCGTATTTTTGTACAGGCAAATTCAATTTTCAGGTCCATACGGCGTACAGCCGTTTCAATACGGGATTTGTAGGATGAACGTTGAGCTTTATAAGGGGCTCGGGGTGACCAATAAGGCCTGAATTGGCCTGTAATAAGGTAACCACTGATAAGGGGTGGAAAGGTGACCCAGATTTTCCGTAAAGATTCCGAATAAGATTTCCTCTTTCACCCAAAACGCATCCCCCTAAACCACGCCGTGCGTGCGAAAAATAACAATTTCTCAATCAATAGTAGTAATATGATGATGAAAATGAACACAATACTTTTTCAATCAGTCAACGGGAATACGATTACGCGCATTATTTGGCGACGCTGCCGTTGGCAGTGGGCCAAGAGGACGAACAAGAGGGTGGCGCATCGCCTGATACGTCACCGATAATTACGTATCAAAATAATAAAAACCTTCAACGTTTCTTCGTCACTGGTAAATCTCAAACACCAATTTCCTGGGTCTCAAGCACAGGGGAGAAAGGAGGGGGGGGGGGGGCGGAGGGAGAAATTTCCTCCATCACTGCCCCCCAACTAAACTATGGGAAGAGATACACAGATCCCGCGTGTAGCCTTAACAGACTGTCGGGGGAAGTGCTGTTAGCGGTACACGAGGGGGTGGGTGGCCAGCACCACGCCCGACCGCCTTTGTCTCCCCAGCGGCGATGTTTAAACACCGCACCGGGTAATCATTTGAGAGGCCGAGTCGACCTAGGGGAGGCCTGGGACCGGTTCAGATAATCGTCACCGGTGTTGGCGGTGAGCGGGAATCGAACCCGGGTCGCATTATTCATAGCGCAGCGCTAACGGCTTGACTACCAAGACACGCGCACACACACGCGGGATTAATTTAAAATCCACATTTCAACTGACAGAGAACGCCGCTTGGCGACGTTGCGGCCCACCGTACCCGCTCGAGATTCTGCCGCAGGTGCGTGAGGGAGTTCATGTCCCGCTGGGCAGCGCTCTCCTCCTCCTCCTCCTCTCCCGTCGTCGTCGTCGTCGTCGTCGTCGTCGCCGCCGTCGTCACCAGCGCCACCTCCGCGTGGCGCTCCTCCTCTTCGTCTTCCTCATCATCGTCATCATCCTCCTCGTCCTCCCCGTCCTCCTCGCTGCGCCCCTCCACCTCGTCGGCGCCCGCGTGAGCCGGGGACGACGATGACGACGACGACGACGACGATGACGACGTTGACGACATCGTCTTGGCCGGGAGGGTCGGAGGCCTGGCAGTGAGGACGCCGCACCAACGATTAAGGCTCCATTCTTATAGCCTGCTGGGGGCAGCACCACGCGTGCCAACGCGTGGTGCGTCTGGGGGTGGCCGGGGCTCAGCACACCGTACAGGAGGTCGTGGGTTCCTGTATACTACGACCTCCTGTATACCAGGCGAGGTAGTTAACATCTCCTAGCCACCGTGATGATGATGAGAATCACGCAGACTCCAAATACACAGCAGGCATCGTCAGGATCTGGATCGAACCCACGACCTCCTGCATAACGTCGGGCATGCGGATTTAGCAGAGAGAAAGAGACTGGGGGTGGTCAGTCGTAGGCAGGGGAAACAACGGAGCCCTTAAACTTGAACCTGGACTTGAACAGAGGCCAAGGAGTCAACAGCACGAATGCCTGCGGGAGTCCAGACTGTGGGCAGCAGCAGTAGCAGCAGTAGCAGCAGTAATAGTAGCAGTAGTAGTAGCAGTAGTAGCAGCAGTAACAGCAGTGGTAGCAGCAGCAGTAGCAGCAGCAGTAGCAGCAGCAGTAGCAGCAGTAGCAGCAGCATCAGTAGCAGCAGCATCAGTAGCAGCAGTAGCAGCAGCAGTAGGAGCAGCAGCAGTAGCAGCAGTAGTAGCAGCAGTAGTAGCAGTAGCAGCAGTAGGAGCAGCAGCAGTAGCAGCAGTAGTAGCAGCAGTAGGAGCTGCAGCAGCAGTAGGAGCAGCAGCAGTAGCAGCATCAGGAGCAGCAGCAGTAGCAGCAGCAGCGGTAGTAGCAGCACTAGGAGCTGCAGTAGCAACAGAAGCAGCAGCAGTAGTAGTAGCAGTAGTAGCAGCAGTAGGAGCAGGAGCAGCAGTAGTAGCAGCAGTAGCAGCAGGAGCAGCAGTAGTAGCAGCAGTAGGAGCAGCAGTAGTAGCAGCAGTAGCAGCAGCAGTAGTAGCAGCAGTAGGAGCTGCCATAGCAACAGAAGTAGTAGCAGCAGCAGTATTAGCAGCAGTAGAAGCTGCAGTAGGAGCAGCAGTAGTAGCAGCAGTAGGAGCAGCAGTAGTAGCAGTAGAAGCTGCAGTAGGAGCAGCAGTAGTAGCAGCAGTAGGAGCAGCAGTAGTATCAGCAGTAGCAGCAGCAGCAGTAGTATCAGCAGTAGTAGCAGTAGTAGCAGCAGTAGCAACAGAAGCAGTAGCAGCAGCAGTAGCAGAGGAGATTTATTGATGAGAGGTTTTTGTTTGGGTTCGATCGTGTAAATATTGTGTCGTTAAACCCGCCACCACCCGACACGGCCAATTGGTAAGGTTTGTCACGTAAACAAAACGTGCCGTTACTAGTTCAGCGCTCCCCGGCTGTGTGTTTACAATTTGAGCACAGTGACATTTCGCTGGTGATTACATCCAGCATCATCAGGCGAGAATTCGTGACCTTCCACGAAGCGAAAATTTGGTGGAGGCTTTCACAATGCGTTAAATTGCTCGTCGAAGAACGAACAGCTTACGATTCGTGAAACACCTTCCAAGCAAAATGTAACACTCGCACAAACAAAAGCGCACTAACGAGGCGAAAACGACACGAACGAGACGAGCGACCCGAATCGTGGACGAGCCGTCGAACCGCAACGACGTCCAGCCTCGACGCACGCCAACCTGCGAGGCTCCGGCACGGCCGCCGGCTTCGGCACGGACGGAGTCGTCAGCAGGGGCCGGTCGAAGCCGCTCTTCCTGCGCAGCTTCCAGAACTGGTAGACGAGGTCTGCGGCGGCGGCGCTGGCGGAGCCGGCGCGGCCCAGGGCCGGCGCCGCGTCCGCCGCGCCGGCGAGCGTGTAGAACTCCTCCTCCAGGCGCCGCAAGCGCTCCCTGCGCACCTCCGCGACTGCGTCGTCGCCGCCGCCGCCGCCGTCGCCGCCGCCGCCGGTGCGTCGCGCCGCTGCCGCGCCGGTGTCGGCCGCCCGTCGCCCGCCAGGGAGCTCCCACTCCCAGTCCGTGCTGCCGGTCGGCGTGGTGGCGACGCCGGCGCCGTCGGCGTCCGGGGGGAATTCGGGCGACGGCGGAAGGGAGCAGCCTCGGGTGCCGATGTCGGAGGATTGCGAGGGCGAGGGCGACGGAGGCGGCGGCTGCTGCTGCTGCTGCTGCTGGCGCTGCCGGCGCTGCGTGTGCTCGGGGCAGTAGGAGCGGAAGCGGACGCGGTCCGTGCGCTCGTCCAGGAAGGTGGCCATGTCGAGGCCGCCATGGAAGCCGCAGGTCACGTGGAACGCGCGCACGCACGTGTGCTCCGAGCACTGTGGGCGCACGCAGACAGACACAGGGTGAAATACACACACACACACACACAGGGTGAAATACACACACACACACAGGGTGAAATACACACACACACACACACAGGGTGAAATACACACACACACAGGGTGAAATACACACACACACACACACAGGGTCATATACACACACACACAGGGTGAAATACACACACACACACAGGGTGAAATACACACACACACACACAGGGTCAAATACACACACACACACAGGGTGAAATACACACACACAGGGTGAAATACACACACACACACAGGGTGAAATACACACACACACACAGGGTGAAATACACACACACAGGGTCATATACACACACACACACACACAGGGTGAAATACACACACACACACAGGGTCAAATACACACAGGGTCAAATACACACACACAGGGTCATATACACACACACACACAGGGTGAAATACACACACACACACACAGGGTGAAATACACACACACACAGGGTCATATACACACACACACACACAGGGTCATATACACACACACACACAGGGTCAAATACACACACACACAGGGTGAAATACACACACACACACAGGGTGAAATACACACACACACACACACAGGGTCATATACACACACACACACAGGGTCAAATACACACACACACACACAGGGTCAAATACACACACACACAGGGTGAAATACACACACACACAGGGTGAAATACACACACACAGGGTCATATACACACACACACACACACAGGGTGAAATACACACACACACACAGGGTCAAATACACACACACAGGGTCAAATACACACACACAGGGTCATATACACACACACAAACAGGGTGAAATACACACACACACACACAGGGTGAAATACACACACACAGGGTCATATACACACACACACACAGGGTCATATACACACACACACAGGGTCATATACACACACACACACAGGGTGAAATACACACACACACACACAGGGTCAAATACACACACACACAGGGTAAAATACACACACACAGGGTCATATACACACACACACAGGGTGAAATACACACACACACACAGGGTGAAATACACACACACACAGGGTCAAATACACACACAGGGTCATATACACACACACACACAGGGTCAAATACACACACACACAGGGTGAAATACACACACACACACAGGGTGAAATACACACACACACAGGGTCATATACACACACACACACAGGGTCAAATACACACACACACACACAGGGTCAAATACACACACACACACAGGGTGAAATACACACACACACAGGGTGAAATACACACACACAGGGTCATATACACACACACACACAGGGTGAAATACACACACACACACAGGGTCAAATACACACACACACAGGGTGAAATACACACACACAGGGTCATATACACACACACACAGGGTGAAATACACACACACACACACAGGGTGAAATACACACACACACAGGGTCATATACACACACACACACAGGGTCATATACACACACACACACAGGGTCATATACACACACACACACAGGGTGAAATACACACACACACACACAGAGTCAAATACACACACACACAGGGTGAAATACACACACACAGGGTCATATACACACACACACAGGGTGAAATACACACACACACACAGGGTGAAATACACACACACAGGGTCAAATACACACACAGGGTCATATACACACACACACACACACAGGGTGAAATACACACACACACAGGGTGAAATACACACACACAGGGTCATATACACACACACACACAGGGTCAAATACACACACACACAGGGTGAAATACACACACACACAGGGTGAAATACACACACACACAGGGTGAAATACACACACACAGGGTCATATACACACACACACAGGGTGAAATACACACACACACACACAGGGTCAAATACACACACACAGGGTCATATACACACACACACACACAGGGTGAAATACACACACACACACAGGGTCATATACACACACACACAGGGTGAAATACACACACACACACAGGGTGAAATACACACACACAGGGTGAAATACACACACACACACAGGGTGAAATACACACACACAGGGTGAAATACACACACACACAGGGTGAAATACACACACACACACAGGGTCATATATACACACACACACACAGGGTGAAATACACACACACACAGGGTCAAATACACACACACAGGGTGAAATACACACACACACAGGGTCAAATACACACACACACACACAGGGTCATATACACACACACACACAAGGTCATATACACACACACACACACAGGGTGAAATACACACACACAGGGTGAAATACACACACACACACACACAGGGTCATATACACACACACACACACACAGGGTCATATACACACACACACACAGGGTGAAATACACACACACACACACACAGGGTGAAATACACACACACAGGGTGAAATACACACACACAGGGTGAAATACACACACACAGGGTGAAATACACACACACACACAGGGTGAAATACACACACAGGGTGAAATACACACACACACACACAGGGTGAAATACACACACACACACAGGGTGAAATACACACACACACACAGGGTCATATACACACACACACAGGGTGAAATACACACACACACAGGGTGAAATACACACACACACAGGGTGAAATACACACACACACAGGGTCAAATACACACACACACACACAGGGTGAAATACACACACACAGGGTCATATACACACACACACACAGGGTCAAATACACACACACACACAGGGTCATATACACAAACACACACACAGGGTGAAATACACACACACACAGGGTCAAATACACACACACACAGGGTGAAATACACACACACACAGGGTCAAATACACACACACACACACACAGGGTCATATACACACACACACACAGGGTCATATACACACACACACACAGGGTGAAATACACACACACACACAGGGTGAAATACACACACACACAGGGTCATATACACACACACACAGGGTCATATACACACACACACACACAGGGTGAAATACACACACACACACACAGGGTGAAATACACACACACACACACAGGGTGAAATACACACACACAGGGTGAAATACACACACACACACAGGGTGAAATACACACACACACACAGGGTGAAATACACACACACAGGGTGAAATACACACACACACACACACAGGGTGAAATACACACACACACAGGGTGAAATACACACACACACACACAGGGTGAAATACACACACACACAGGGTCATATACACACACACACACACACAGGGTGAAATACACACACACAGGGTCATACACACACACACAGGGTCAAATACACACACACACACAGGGTGAAATACACACACACACAGGGTGAAATACACACACACACAGGGTCATATACACACACACACAGGGTGAAATACACACACACAGGGTCATATACACACACACAGGGTGAAATACACACACACACAGGGTCATATACACACACACACAGGGTCATATACACACACACAGGGTCAAATACACACACACACACACACAGGGTCAAATACACACACACACACAGGGTCAAATACACACACAGGGTCATATACACACACACACACAGGGTCATATACACACACACACACACAGGGTCAAATACACACACACACATAGGGTCAAATACACACACACACAGGGTCATATACACACACACACACACAGGGTCAAATACACACACACACAGGGTCATATACACACACACACACACAGGGTCATATACACACACACACAGGGTCATATACACACACACACACACAGGGTCAAATACACACACACAGGGTCAAATACACACACACACACACAGGGTCAAATACACACACACAGGGTCATATACACACACACACACAGGGTCAAATACACACACACACACACACAGGGTCAAATACACACACACACAGGGTCATATACACACACACACAGGGTCAAATACACACACACACACAGGGTCAAATACACACACACACACACAGGGTCAAATACACACACACACAGGGTCATATACACACACACACACAGGGTGAAATACACACACACACACACAGGGTCAAATACACACACACACGTACAGGGTCATACACACACACACACAGGGTCAAATACACACACACACACACACAGGGTCATATACACACACACACACAGGGTCAAATATACACACACACAGGGTCAAATACACGCACGCACGCACACAGGGTCAAATACACACACACACAGGGTCATATACACACACACACACAGGGTCAAATACACACACACACACACACAGGGTCATATACACACACACGCACAGGGTCATATACACACACACACACAGGGTCAAATACACACACACACAGGGTCAAATACACACACACACAGGGTCAAATACACACACACACACAGGGTCATATACACACACACAGGGTCAAATACACACACACACACACACGTACAGGGTCAAATACACACACACACACAGGGTCATATACACACGCACACACACAGGGTCATATACACACACACGCACACAGGGTCAAATACACACACACACAGGGTCATATACACACACACACACAGGGTCAAATACACACACACACACACAGGGTCAAATACACACACACACAGGGTCATATACACACACACACACACAGGGTGAAATACACACACACACAGGGTCATATACACACACACACACACAGGGTCATATACACACACACACACAGGGTCATATACACACACACAGGGTCATATACACACACACACACACAGGGTCATATACACACACAGGGTCATATACACACACACACAGGGTCATATACACACACACACAGGGTCAAATACACACACACACGTACAGGGTCATATACACACACACACACAGGGTCAAATACACACACACACAGGGTCATATACACACACACACGTACAGGGTCATATACACACACACACACACAGGGTCAAATACACACACACACACAGGGTCAAATACACACACACACACAGGGTCAAATACACACACACACAGGGTCATATACACACACACACGTACAGGGTCATATACACACACACACACAGGGTCAAATACACACACACACAGGGTCATATACACACACGCACACAGGGTCAAATACACACACACACACACACAGGGTCATATACACACACACACACAGGGTCATATACACACACACGCCCAGGGTCATATACACACACACACGCACACAGGGTCAAATACACGCACACACAGGGTCAAATACACACACACACGCACACAGGGTCATATACACACACACACACAGGGTCATATACACACACACGCACACAGGGTCAAATACACACACACACAGGGTCATATACACACACACACAGGGTCATATACACACACACACGCCCAGGGTCATATACACACACACACACAGGGTCATATACACACACACACGCACACAGGGTCAAATACACACGCACACACACAGGGTCATATACACACGCACACACACAGGGTCATATACACACACACACACAGGGTCATATACACACACACGCACACAGGGTCAAATACACACACACACAGGGTCAAATACACACACGCACACAGGGTCATATACACACACTCGCACACAGGGTCAAATACACACACACACACAGGGTCAAATACACATACACACGCACACAGGGTCAAATACACACACACACACAGGGTCATATACACACACACACGTACACAGGGTCATATACACACACACACGCACAGGGTCAAATACACACACACACGCACAGGGTCATATACACACACACACGCACAGGGTCAAATACACACACACACGCACAGGGTCATATACACACACACACGCACAGGGTCATATACACACGCACGCACACAGGGTCATATACACACACACACGCACAAGGTCAAATACACACACACACGCACAGGGTCATATACACACACACACGTACAGGCACGCGAACACACACACAGGGATGCACACAGACACGTGCACACAGACACGTGCACACAGACACGCACACACAGACACACAAAGACAAACACACACACGTACAGGCACGCACGCAGAAACACACGCACTCCCACACACACCACAGACACGTGCACACCACAGACATGCGCACACCATAGACACGCGCACACCACAGACACGCTCACACCACAGACACGCGCACACCACAGACACGCTCACACCACAGACACGCGCACACCACAGACACGCGCACACCACAGACACGCACACACCATAGACACGCGCATACCACAGACACGCTCACACCACAGACACGCGCACACCACAGACACGCTCACACCACAGGCACGCACACACATCGGTGGAGAGTTACAACACATTTATACTTAAGCGATCTCACCCAACAACCTTTATCATGAGTGTAAAATTAATTTGGGCAATACATTTAGGGTACTTTGATGCTTAAAAATGATTTCACAGGGCAGTGTCGTGCACACATTACATCACAACGAAGGTGATTGCTTGGGACAGTTTTATCAGAATGCGCAGCGTTGCGACACAAAGGCTTTACATGTAAACCCTCCGCTCAAATCACGAATGCAGAGTTAGGATGTATTTAAGACACTACGAATACACCGAAATGTATGGGTGTCATTAAACTACTATTACTCTCACTGTGTTGATTTTTTACTATGAAGAGCTTTACAATATTTGATGGTTATCATGACTGAACTATCCGCAAGTAGTTTGCGCATGCTAGGGTGTTGATTTAGTGCTCAAAATTAGTCATTTGGCCGTTAAAAGACAATCGGATTCTACGGACACCCCCTTCCCCCCCCCCCCCTTTTGGTCCGTTAAACCGAGGGTTGTGATGATAAACTTCTTTCGTACGTAGCCAACCGTGCCAATCGGAGGTGCAGTGTTGAGTCTATGGGCAGTGTTGAGTCTATGGGCAGTGTTGAGTCTATGGGCAGTGTTGAGTCTATGGGCAGTGTTAGTCTATGGGCAGTGTTAGTCTATGGGCAGTGTTAGTCTATGGGCAGTGTTGAGTCTATGGGCAGTGTTAGTCTATGGGCAGTGTTAGTCTATGGGCAGTGTTAGTCTATGGGCAGTGTTGAGTCTATGGGTAGTGTTAGTCTATGGGTAGTGTTAGTCTATGGGTAGTGTTAGTCTATGGGCAGTGTTGAGTCTATGGGCAGTGTTGAGTCTATGGGCAGTGTTGAGTCTATGGGTAGTGTTGAGTCTATGGGCAGTGTTATTCTATGGGCAGTGTTAGTCTATGGGCAGTGTTAGTCTATGGGCAGTGTTGAGTCTATGGGTAGTGTTAGTCTATGGGTAGTGTTAGTCTATGGGTAGTGTTAGTCTATGGGCAGTGTTGAGTCTATGGGATAGTGTTGAGTTTATGGATAGTGTTAGTCTATGGGTAGTGTTAGTCTATGGGTAGTGTTAGTCTATGGGCAGTGTTGAGTCTATGGGCAGTGTTGAGTCTATGGGCAGTGTTGTGTCTATGGGCAGTGTTGAGTCTATGGGCAGTGTTGAGTCTATGGGCAGTGTTGAGTCTATGGGTAGTGTTGTGTCTATGGGCAGTGTTGAGTCTATGGGCAGTGTTGAGTCTATGGGCAGTGTTAAGTCTATGGGCAGTGTTGAGTCTATGGGTAGTGTTGTGTCTATGGGCAGTGTTGAGTCTATGGGCAGTGTTGAGTCTATGGGCAGTGTTGAGTCTATGGGCAGTGTTGAGTCTATGGGGTAGTGTTGAGTCTATGGGGTAGTGTTGAGTCTATGGGCAGTGTTGAGTCTATGGGCAGTGTTGTGTCTATGGGCAGTGTTGAGTCTATGGGCAGTGTTGAGTCTATGGGCAGTGTTGAGTCTATGGGCAGTGCTGTGTCTATGGGGTAGTGTTGAGTCTATGGGCAGTGTTGAGTCTATGGGCAGTGTTGAGTCTATGGGCAGTGTTGAGTCTATGGGCAGTGTTGAGTCTATGGGCAGTGTTGAGTCTATGGGCAGTGTTGAGTCTATGGGTAGTGTTGTGTCTATGTGCAATCTAATCGAGCAGGCAATAGCGCCGCGCCTCCAGGACCGTATCGACCGATGGCGGTTCGCAGACGTCCACGCGATGAGCCAGCGTTGCTGCAACAGGTCCGCTCTCCCACTCCGCAACCCGTTGCAACCCGTTGCAACCCGTTGCAGAGACGCCCAAAGAGTGAGGCGATTCGTTTAACGCGTTAAGCGACCGTTTAGGCGTGGACTTGGCTTTCGGCCGAGTCCACCTAGGGGAGGCCCCGATTGCACGCGCGTGAGTGAGCCGTCACTGCTGCGATGCACCGCGTCGCCAACCGTGGCTGGGAGTCGAACTGGGGCTGGGCAGGTTCGCGGTGTAGGGACGCTCGGCAAAACGCACCACATCACTCCCCACGCGCACACAAACGCCACGCACGCACACACACACACGGCACACACATGGACACCGTGGGCGTTGAGCTATCGCCAGACGGTCCTTCAGATGGGACGAGTTGAGTCACGAGTAACGAAAAGCACGTGTGTGTGTGTGCGTGTCTTTGTGTGTGCGTGTCTTTGTGTGTGCGTGGATGTGTGCATGCATGGGGTGTGTGCGTGTGTAAGCATGGGATGTGTGCGTGTGTGTATGTGTGTGCATGGGGTGTGTGCGTGTGCGTGTGCGTATGTATGTGCGTGCTGCCGGTGGTGTAGCGGTTAGCGCTACGCTGCGCTACGAACCCGGCGACCCGGGTTCGATTCCCGCTCACGGCCAACATCAGTGAAGATTATCTGAACCGGTCCTGGGCCTCCCCCTAGGTCGATTCAGCCTCAAATGAGTATCTGGTGCGGTGTGTAAACATCGCCACTGGGGAGACAAAGGCGGCCGGGCATGGTGCTGGCCACCCACCCCCTCGTGTGCCGTGCCGGCCTTCATAGGTGCTCGCTAACAGCGCTTGCCCCAACAGTCTGTTCAGGCTATACGGGGGATCTTTGTCTTTCATTTTGGCCGAGTGATTTGGTGGGGTGCTTGCTTGGTTGAGTGTGGGCGAGTGAATGGGTGAGAGTTGTTGTTGTTGACGAGACGAAGCGGTCAGGTAGCCCCGAGTCCCCAACGTGAATGGAGGAATCAATGAGTGAAGTCCACGGGAAAGTTGGCCAATTAATGAGAGGGGCTGCACACGCTGTGGTAGCCACCACTCACGGTGCAGCGATGCCTCTATGTCACTTCCTGTGCACTAGCTCATTATCTGCGTATGTGTGTACGTTGAACTTCATTCGCACCGCACGTAGCCAACCGTGCTGATCGGAGGTGAGGGGTGAGTGTGTGGCGAGTGGTTGGGTGAGTGTATCCGTATACACGTTGAACTTCTTTCGCACGGCACGTAGCCAACCGTGCTGATCGGAGGTGCGGGGGGTGAGTGGGTGAGTGTGTGGGCGAGTGGTTGGGTACGCAGAAGCGCACAGAAGTAGCATGGAGGAGCAAACTAAGGCTTTGGCGAAGTTTTACGGAAGCACACGGCGCAGGCGGCAATATGCGGAAGCGCAGACGGAAGCGCAGACGGAAGCGCGGAGAGGCAAAGTCCCGGGGAGGCGTGCGGGGGAAGCGGTCGAAGCGAGCGGAAAGCGCCGCTACCTGGATGCAGGCGCCCGTGCGCTCGTGACAGAGGCAGCAGAGGAGAGCCCAGCGTGTTGGGGGGATGAGTGAGAGGCGCGTGATCGGCTCCATCTTCTCAGGGCACCCGATGCTCACCTGCGCCGTCGTGCACACACAATCACAAACACACAAAGACAAAGCTCACACCCCCGTGTGGCCTTGACGGACTGTCGGGGTAAGTGCTGGTGGAGAGCACCAATGAAGGCCGGAATGGTCCACGAGGGGGGGGGGGGGGGGGGGGTGGGTGGCCAGCGCCACGCCCGGCCGCCTTTGTCTCCGCACCAGGTACTAATTTGAGGCTGAGTCGACCTAGGGGAGGCCCAGGACCGGTTTAGATCATTACTATCGCTGGTGTTTGTTGGAACGGAATCGAACTCGGGCCGCCGGGTTCGTAGCGCAGTGCGCTGACCGCTACTACTCTACCACTCCCCACTACACACACGCGCACGCACGCACGCACACACGCACACACACACACGCGTGGAGACGCTGGCACATCCAAGCCGAGCCAGCTAAGCGCGGCTTAGGAGGCAACAGGCGGTTGCGTTTCCACCGCAGATGCAGAGCTGTGCCGCGAATGGCGGAGGACATGGGAGAAAAATCCACGGGGAGAGAAACATGCAAACTCCAAATATACAGGTGTCACGGTGGGGATAGAAATCACGACCTCCTGCAAATCAGGCGAGGTAGTTAAGATCCCACCAGCGTGCCTGGTATGCAGGAGGTCGTGGGTTCCATCACGACCCCGACGCCTGCTGTATATTTGGAGTTGGCGTATTTCTTTTACTGCGATGGGGTCGATTTTTCTCCGGATAGTCAGTTTTTTTCCGTCCACATTGAGAATCAACTTCACGCGTTCAGAGAATTTGGCTGCTGCTATACATTTCCACATGACGATAAGCCACTTCGTTGAGCTATAATTTATATACACTATAATACTATACACTACACTATACACTACACTACTATACACTACACTACTATACACTATATTACTATACACTACGCTACTATAAACTACACGACTATACACTACACTACTATACACTACACTACTATACACTACACTACTATACACTATACACTACTATACACTACAATATTATACACGACACTACTATATACTACACTACTATACACTACACTAATATACACTACTGTAAACTACACTACTATACACTACACGATTATACACTACTAGAAACTACACTATACACTACACTACTATATACTACACTACTAAACACTGCACTACTATACACTACACTAATATACACTGCTATACACTACACTACTATACACTACACTATATACACTACTATAAACTACACTATACACTACACTACTAAACACTACACATACTATACGCTACACTACTACACAATACACTATACACTACTAAACACTACACTACTATACACTACACTACTATACCATACACTACAATAAACTACACTATACACTACACATTGGGCTCGATGGAGGCCGTCGTTAGGCGATTCGTCGTTAATACTATACACTACACTACTATACACTACACTAATATACACTACTATAAACTACACTATACACTACACTACTAAACACTACACATACTATACGCTACACTACTACACAATACACTATACACTACTATAAACTACACTATACACTACACTACTAAACACTACACATACTATACGCTACACTACTACACAATACACTACTAAACACTACTATACACTACACTACTATACCATACACTACAATAAACTACACTATACACTACACATTGGGCTCGATGGAGGCCCGTCGTTAGGCGATTAGTCATTAATAGGCGTGGTCGTTAAGAGGAGTTCTACTGCATAGCTCGTTAAAAGGGTCGTGTTTGACGGGCGTCCCTCGCCGATTCGCTCCAATCGCTGGACTCGCGAACTGACGGCCACTCGCCTCCCAATCGCTCTTCTCCCGCTACTGCCGTGGTTCCCGTCAACTTCACTTCTTGATTCCCCCGCCGCCCCCCCCCCCCCCGGGGTCTTTCAGAGGTGGGGGGGAGGGTGAAAGGAGCGGCCTGGGCCTCTCACAAAACAGGGCCCCACAAGGCAAAACAACAATTTTCCGTCGCCAAAAATGGCCTCTCGAGTCTGTCTCGGAGCTCGTCAGGGGTGGGGTTAACGGCGCTGCGTTCACCGCGTCACGGCAGTCGGTGTGACGCGGTGAGCCCGTGGCGTCACCGATGCGCGCCTCCCATCGGCCGTCGCGTCCGGTTTTACCCTGACGCGACGAGAATCGGCGTCACGCGTTTCACAGTAACTTGGCTCTTGCTATTAATGCAAACCTGTCAACCCCTTATCAGCGCCCTACCTTATTACAGACCAATTCAGAGACCTTATTGGTCACCCCGTGCCCCTTATAAATCTCAACATTCATCCAACAAAGTCCCATCACAAGGGAGAAACACGAATAGAAAATCAAAACGTTTTTTTTTGCCCGTATTGAAACGTCCGTACGCCGAACGGACCTGAAAACTCAATTTCCCTGTAGGAGAATACGGGGTAAACCGTATGGGTGGGACAGCTGTGTGAATGTCCACGTGATGATGATGATGATGCTGATGAGCCGCCGTTCCACTGCGCTATCGTTCGCGACGGCCGGGTCGCGTCCGCAAAAAAAAAAAAGAGCCACGCCGCCGAGCGGGGCCTCACCCGGTAAAATAAAACCAAAAATAAAAAAAACCGGTCGACATCTCGTCGCCGAGCGGCGAGGAGCCCGTCGGCGCAAATTCTCCCCCGTCGCGTCGTCGTCGCCTCTCACCTCGGGGATCCAGAGGGCGCAGCTGACGTGCGCCCACTTCCCTCCGCCGCGCGTCGGCTTCATGGCGCCGTCTCGCCGGGGGCACAGCTGGCAGCGGGGGGCGGCCACCCCGCGGTCGCACACGCGGCACAACCAGCTCCCCGCGGGCACGCACGCGATGCCGTAGCAAGCCTGGGTGCGCGCGCGCGCACACGCAACAGCGCGGTCAGCGGGCGGGGATTTGCACAGACGCGCGCGCAAGCGTAGGTGATCACGCGCACGCGCACGGGCGGATGCCGATTGGATATCGGTACGTGCGCGCGGGCGCGCGCCCACACACGAGCATAGGTGCGTACGCACAGCCTGGCGCGCACGCGTACACGCGCACACGCACGCACAGGTACACACGCACACGCACACTCATCGGCGGACACGCACACACACAGTTACATATGCACCAAGATGCCCCGTACAGCCTTGACAGACTGTGGGGGCAAGTGCTGTTAGCGAGCACCTATGAAGGCCGGCACGGCACACGAGGAGTTGGGTGGCCAGCACCACGCCCGGCCGCCTTTGTCTCCCCAGTGGCGATGTTTACACACCACACGAGGCACTCATTTGAGGCTGAGTCGACCTCGGGGAGGCCCGGGACCGGTTCAGATAATCGTCGCCGGTGTTGGCCGTGAGCGGGAATCGAATTCTAGCCGCAGGGTTCGTAGCGCAGCGCGGACCACCGTGCCACCGCTCCCCCCACCACGCTCACACTCGCTCACACTCGCTCACACTCGCTCACACGTGGACACGCTCGCTAGCACTCTCGCTCACACTCGCTCACACGTGGACACGCTCGCTAGCACTCTCGCTCACTCTCGCTCACACTCGCTCACACGTGGACACGCTCGCTAGCACGCAGACTTCACAGGCCAACCAGAGCAAAGATGTAGGATTCATGTTCAACTCCAGCACCATTGCTCCTCAACGGCCACCAACACCCAGGGCCTCCGCACCGAGGCCTCAGCACCGAGGCCTCCGCACCGAGGCCTCAGCAACGAGGCCTCAGCACCGAGGCCTCCGCAACGGGGCCTCAGCACCGAGGCCTCCGCACCGAGGCCTCCGCACCGAGGCCTCCGCAACGAGGCCTCAGCACCGAGGCCTCCGCACCGAGGCCTCCGCACCGAGGCCTCAGCACCGAGGCCTCCGCACCGAGGCCTCAGCACCGGGGCCTCCGCACCGAGGCCTCCGCACCGAGGCCTCCGCACCGAGGCCTCAGCACCGAGGCCTCCGCACCGAGGCCTCCGCACCGAGGCCTCCGCACCGAGCCCCCCCAGGCCCGGGCCAGCCCGGCGGCCGCGCCGCGTACCTGGTGGACGCACACGTCGCACTTGTCGCAAAACACCATCTCGTTGCCGTCCTCGGCGTGCGGGGAGCGGCACACGTCGCACACCACGTCCGCGTCGAACTCGATGCCCAGCGCCGCCTCGGTGCTGAGCGCCCGCAGAGCCGAGTCGGCGCAGCGCCTCTCCAGCCGTGACAGCGCCGCCTCCAGCGAGCGCTCGCGCACCGGCGGCAGTCCTAGCGACATCGTCGGCATCGTCAACATCGAACGAGCGCACGAACTGGCCGAGCCAAGGCACCTGGTCACTTCGAGTTATTGAACTAGACTATCGAATGTTTATTTTTTGTTTTGTTTTACCAGGCAAGGCCTACTGAGCTATATGGCTCTTTTGTTCGCATCGAGCTGGCGATCACAAATGATAGCTCAACAATGTGGCTTATCATCATCATCATCATCATCGTGTGCAGTTATAGCAGCCGAACACTCTAAACGCATGTTGATTCTGAATGTGGAGGGGAAAAAAACGGTGGACCCAGAGAAAAATCCACGCGGCCACGGGATCGCGAAAGCCTACGTGTTAAACTGGGGAGAGAGACACCACAAACTATAAATATAGAGGGTTTAGGGTCGGGATCGAACCCATGACCTCCTGTATACCAGGCGAGGTAGTTAACATCTCCTAGCCACCGTGATGATGATGAGAAAGACACACAGACTCTAAATATACAGCAGGCATCATCAGGGTCGGGATCGAACCCACGACCTCCTGTATACCAGGCGAGGTAGTTAACATCTCCTAGCCACCGTGATGATGATGAGAGAGACACGCAGACTCTAAATATACAGCAGGCATCATAAGGGTCGGGATCGAACCCACGACTCCTGTATACCAGGCAAGGTAGTTAACATCTCCTAGCCACCGTGGCGTTTCTGCAGAGTCTTGAGCCTTCTTGTTGACCAGAAGAAAAGAGAGAGAGAGAGAAAAAAATAACCCACTGATTTTAAGTTAAAAGAAATAACGCAGAACAATCGCACCAAAAGAACTCCACCGCATACAGCCCCCTCCCCAACACCCCCCCCCTTCCTGTCTTTGCCACTTCAAAAAAAAATAGTCGCCGTGCCATGTGTCTCACATTGGAAACAAGATGTCAGAGGTCTCTGTAAATGGCACGTGAAAACAATTTCGCCGGTTCACAAAGCGTGCCGTTAAAGAGTTGGACTGCCGGGAACCTCGTGTGTGTGTTTGCGTGCGTGCGTGCGTGCGTGTACGTTGAACTTCTTTCGCACCGCACGTAGCCAACCATGGAGAAAACTACAGCCAGGGACTGGAATAATTGAGATGAGATTGGCACGTAAGGCGCTTTCAAACGCTGGGGTATTTAATCTACGACCTCGCCTGGTATGCAGGAGGTCGTGGGTCCGATCCCAACCCTGACGCCTGCTGCTGTATATTTGGAGATTGCGTGTCTGGCTCTCTCTCCCCGTGGTCGCGTGAATTTTTCTCCGGGTCCTCCGGTTTTTCACTCCACGTTTAGAATAAACTATCGCGCGTTTAGAGTATTAGGCTGCTTTAACTTTCCACGTGATGATACGTCCATTTCGTTGGGCTATACCATTCTGTGATGACCAGGTCGCTTCTGACAAAGAGCTACGTAAGCTCAGTGGGGCCTTACCTGGTAAAATAAAAGTTACCATTATGTGCAAATGCTTAAATCCTTCACAGTGCCCGAATGGTAAATTTCTAATACAAAACAGTTGCAATGCTTAAGGTTCAAAGATAAAAGAGTCAGGCAATCGATACAACAATAACAACAAAGCTAGCTAGAGAATCATGAAAAAAAACGCGGCGTGCGCAGATTCTTTGTTTTTCAATTATTAACTCCCCATCGGACGGACACCCGTTTTTTTTTCCTCGTGCACATTAAGCAGCCGAGAGGAGGCCTGCTGGCTCGTCAGAGGTCAAGGGCGCAGGGCCGGCACCTCTGAGGACCTGGGTTCGAACCCAGGTTTCAACCGCCGCCCGTGATTAAAACCGAGTTCCCGAGCGCAGCGGAGTTGACGGTCTCTCAGCCAGTTCGGAATCAGAATCTTTTAATTGTGCTGGAGGAGGCATCCGGTGAGCTATGAAGCTCTTGTTTCACATGTGTCCAGTTCGGGGCACCGTGTCAGAAAGTTACAGCAACAAACAAAAAAATGACCAAGATCCCCCGTATAACCTTAACAGACTGTTGGGGCAAGTGCTGTTAGCGAGCACCTATGAAGGCCGGCACGCAATTCAGAGACTTACAGAAATGTCGGCGTGACTGCCTTACAATTAACACTTATCTGTAAGGGGACATGCGGGAAAGTGCGCATCTTTAGTGGATGGACAGGAAGATGCGTTTAGATTATTTTGCTGCAAAACATTTCCAAGCGATGAGCAACTCCGTTGAGCTGTTATTTGCGGCCAGGTCGCTTCTGAAAAAGAAGCCAATAGCTCAGTGGGCTGTACCTGGTAAGAACATTTTCATTTATTTTTATTTGTATATTCTATTAAGCAATGTGCTTACTGTTCCTATACTTTGCACTCCTATCGTGTTTTTATATTGTTTGTTGTTCACGTTCTGACCCCGTGTCCCAACTGGACATCTGTGAAAAAAATCTTTATAGCTCATCAGATTCCATCTCTCTTGACTTGAAGGCATCTCAAAACGTAGTTCCGCAAAAGATGCTTCCGCAGTTCAACCAGTACGCTTTACGCGGACCAATGTTATCCATAGCAGAGGTTTTTGGGATAAATCGCGTGAATACAAATGTGTCGTTAAACCCGCCACCACCCGACACAGCCAATTGGTAAGCTTGCGTCACTAGTTCAGCGCGCACGCCCGGTATGTATGTATGTGTGCGCGCGTTGGAGAGCAAACCCCCGACAACATTTACAATTCGGGTATCGTGACATTTCGCCGGTAACTACAACGAGCGTCGTCTGTCGACAGCCAGAGTTGCGGAGACATCGTCCTCCTGTCTTGGTCTTAAACTGAGGGGTAAATGCCAATTGAGTGCGAAGGCCAGGGGGAGGGGGTGGGGTTCATGTATTCATATAAATTACAATGGGTGTCCATTACCGGTTGGGTTTTTATAGGGTGATCAACGTGCACAACGCACGCGCACGTTATGCACGTGTGCGTTGTGCACGTGCACGTCCTGCCGTGGGCTCCCGCTGTCTGGCACACGGGGTGATGCAACGTGGCCGCGCGGGAGCCCCGAGCGGATAACCTCGCAGGGGAGCCCCAAGGGTTCCATTTGGAGTGCGACGGTGCCAGCTCAAGACCTCTGACCGCCCCCCCCCCCGCGCGGCGAGCCACTGACCCATTTTTGTCATCTCGTCGTTGGCGGCTCGGAGCCAGCTGACGTCCACGTCGTCGAGGTCGTACTGAGTGGCCTCTTCCCCGGGGTTGTGACCTCTGGCCGGGGTCCTGACCACGTCGGGGTCGGGGTCGGAGAGGTGGGCCGGAGGCAGAGGCTCCTCCGAGTGATCGCTGCACCAACCGTGGTTCAGAATCCTGGACGGAGAAAATAAAGGAAACAATCATTATAATAATTACTAAAATTATTCAAACATCACAATGAAATGTTCGGCGCCTGCGCCGGTCTTACGGCGACTTAGTCGAGCTATGACTTGCGATGGCCTGGTTGCTTCTACAAAATTAGTTAATACCTCAAGGGGGGCCGCTTTGCCTGGTAGGATGGGGATGGTTTCGTTTTGAATTTGCGTGTTCTTTGGGGCGATTTGTGTTGCCTGTCGTGTACCTTGCACTCCAGCCATCGCCAGGCTGTCTGGCTGATGATGGCTGGGTTGTTATTACTGGCGAAACGTCGTACTCGAGCTGTAAGTGTTGTGGGTTTACTCTCCAACACACAACCGGTTAGTGCTGTACTAGTAAAGAATTGGCACGTGTTGCTTACGTGGCAAAGCTGGCTAATTGGCTGTGTCGAGCGGTGAAAACATGAGCTGTGTTATAAGCAGCCCTCACCTGAAGCTGGGTACTGGGATGGATTCTGGACAAACCGGCACCTGGACTCCACGCTCCCACTCTGGTCTCCAGGGGTCGGCGAGCAGATAAAACTGACCCGGCACTAAGGATCCGGAGTCTGGCAGCTTCATGGCGCTGATGAGGTCGGTGCGGAAAATCTGGAGCGCATCGCGAACAGGGTCGGTGTCAGTGGAAGTCACGACACAGCCGGCCAGAATCTCCATCATCATCATCATCATCACCACCGTCACCACTACCATCAGCCATGTATGTATGTACAACTTTCTTCACACCCTACGTAGCCAACCGTGCCAATCGTAGGTATGTACAGTAAAACCCTGGATTGCGAGTAACTTGGTCTGCAAGACGAGCAAAATTTTTTATAAATGTTAATTTGATAAACGAGCGAGGTTTCTTGCAATACGAGCAGTGTACGTGTACGCTTTGACTGCCGAGCGTCACGTGATCACAACTGATACACGAGTGCTTTGATATACGAGTGCTTTGGATTACAAACACGTTTCCGGAACGATTTATGCTCGCAATCCAAGGTTTTACCGTATATTGAACTTTTTTCACACCCTACGTAGCCAACCGTGCTAATCAGAGACATATATGTTGAACTTCTTTCACACCGTCTCGTGGCACGACCCCAAATGCACGAGTCGAATACCACTGGGGATTGGGGGGGCTAAAAAACGAAAATTCTAACCAAAATAATTCTACCCACACACACGGGAGGGAGGGCGGGCGGGCGGGCGGGCGGGCGGGCGGGCGGGCTACATTCCACCAGAGCGACTCAGCTCCCGTGCAACTGTTCAAGGCATAAAATCAGAACAAATAAACTTAAACTGACGAGTTCAGTGCATCGTAGAACCCACGGGCACACTGCCCGTATTCTCCTGCTGCTAAAATGTAAAAACGCACCCCCAAAGAGCTCGCGCCGAACGTCATTGTACAGATCTGGTCTCTCGCGCACACAACAACAACAACCACCGCCATTCGCCACGAAATCGCGGTGACGTCACCACGGCGCTTGTGCCAGGCTAAGTGCAATTTAAGGCCACGTGAAGTGTCCAACGCCAAGCTGGCAGGAGGTCACGGGACAGACCCAGGTGCCATGGGTTGACCGACACACACACACACACAGACACACACCCACAGCAACGCAACACGCTCGCAGGCAACACCGTGTGGCCTTAGAAGAAGAAAGAAACAATAAATGACAGCCAACTTTTCGGGCAAAGGGCCCCTCCATCGGAGCACAGAAAACTCAAAGAGTTTGTGCGCCGCTGCTGCCAACGCACCACCACCACCACCACGACGTGCAACGTGCTCAGCGATGCCGTCACAAGATGCGCTCTCACGTTCTCGTCGTTGTTGTTGTATTAAAATGGAGGTGGCAGAAGAGAACACCGCCTCAAACCCGGCGCAGTACGACGGCCACCGTGGCTCGCATGTTCACGGCACTTTGCTTGGGAGACCCAGAGAGGCGTGATTGGAGAGCCCGAACGACCGCCACCTTCCCCCCCCCCCGTCACTGAGGTTGCGTCTGCCGCGTGAATGCGGACGCATGATGTCGCAACAGTTCAACGCGTTAGTAGTAGTAGCAGGCCTTTCGCGACCAATATTAATCTCGATTTGAAGCTTTTGTACACCGCAGAAATCCATGCTCTTTGGTTCTTTCGGTAAAGTCATCACGTAGGTAGAAAAATAAAAACAAATCACGACGTTTCGGGTGCAACACAAGCGTCCATCATCAGTTGGGAAAGGATTGGTCTGCTGCCGAGGCAGACTTTTAAAAGGTTTTAAATGGGTGTAGCCCAAGGGTCATAAAGAAGTGGCCGGGGTTATTGATGTTAATGTGAGAAATTAGCATGTAACTGTAAGATAGGAGAGTGGCCTCCTCGACGAGGGCACGGAAGTGGCTATGTTAATGTGAGAGATTAGCGTGATGTTCATGTGAGAAATTAGAGGGCACGGAAGTGGCTCTGTTAATGTGAGAGATTAGCGTGATGTTCATGTGAGAAATTAGAGGGCACGGAAGTGGCTCTGTTAATGTGAGAGATTAGCGTGATGTTCATGTGAGAAATTAGAGGGCACGGAAGTGGCTTGGGTCTAATTGTCCACGCTGAACTGACGTTGGCTGTAAATCACCACGGTCCCTTACGTTGTGGCAAGCTTCGGAGTCGTGCAGTTTTGCCATTACGAGTACGGTACATTTCATTAAAGCGTGTTTTTAAAAAAAAGTATTTTTAAATATTACTTATTTCCCTCCACGTTTTGGATCAACGTCACGCGAACCACTGATCGGCGGTTGACAGGTTTGGTATTTTATGCCATCAAACCCAACAACAACAACAACAAAAAAGAGAAACCTCGGTTGTGAGTGCTGCTTTCTTGCGAGTGGCAGCTTTTGTTTGCCGGACCGCTGGCGGCACCTTGCTGGAATGCTGGCCCCGGGGGGTTCCACGCCGGCACAGGGCGCCTTGCGCCCAGAGTACCGAAGTCGCCAATCGTTGCCGAAGAGGGCAAAAGCAGCCAAGTGTTCGCGACGTTCCCGCGAAGAAACGTCACGGACATTTGGTGTGTCGGTTCGATGGCGATAACGAAAAGGTAATAAAGGAGTCGTTAGGAAAGGGGCACCAGAACGCCGCTGACATTTGGGGCGTGCGCGGGGAGGAGCAGCGGGCACCGTGGTTAGCGCACCGCCCGCGACGGACGTGGCTCCCTTCCACGGCCGACGCGTCAGCGACAAGCAACGTCTGCAAGCGTTCCCGAGGCCTCACCGGGAACGCACCCCCTCCCCCCCGCCCGCCCACCCGCCCGCCCGCCCGCCCCCTCCCCGAAACGGGGTACAGAGACGCCTTCATCCAGCAGTGGATTGACCCGAGGGCTTCAAGAACGAGGGCCCAAAAACGTTGCCCATCGTGTCCTTTTTTTCCTTCTTTTAAGGCCACACGGTATTGCTTGCGAGCGTGTTAAGTTGTTGTAGGTGTGTCTGTGTGTGTGTCGGTCAACGCATGGCACCTGGGTCTGTCCCGTGACCTCCGCTTGCCGTTGCTCTCCCCGGAGCGTCTCGCGACCAGGAGAATGCGGGCGGCGTGCCCGCGGCTCCACGGCGCACCGAACTTCGTCGGCCGCGCTTTGGGAGAGCGCCCTCTGCCACTTTGGAGGGCCCCGTTTTTTAACCTTCGAGAGGACACGCGGGACTTCATCAATCGTGGCGAGCCACCGGAACGGCACAGCGGGGTCAGTGTGTGGAGCCGGCGGCGGCCGCCTGCGGTCCTCCAGACCGCACCGACCCACCCCACCCCCACCCGCCGAAACTCGCACCCCGCGCGCCGATCGCACGTCGAGTAAATTCACGACGGGGGCTCCATGAATCGAGGCACTATTTTACAGGCGGGGGTGGGGGGGGGGAGGCGGGGGGTGGGGGGGTTGCGCCCCAGGAATTTCGCACCTCGGCCTCGCAACCCTCGGGCCGCCCCCTCTCGGGGCCGCGACCAAACGGACGCGGAAGGGAGCTGCCCTCTGCGACGGGACGCTAAGACATCGAGTTCGTTCGTCTCGTTACGGGGTGTCGGCGATGATTGCACGCCCCGATTGCGCTTCGATTGCACCACAATTGCACCTCGATTGCACCACAATCGTGCCCCGATTGCACCATGATTGCGCCCCGATTGCATCACAATTGCATCACAATTATGCCTCGATTGCGCCCCGATTGCACCACGATCGTGCTCCGATTGCGCTCCGATTGCACCTCGATCGCGCCTAGATTGCGCCCAGATTGCGCCGTTGTTCCACTCATTACGGAAACGCTGTTATTCCCCAGGGCTTCGCTTTGTAATTTCAGGAAATTTGCCCACTCAAGGTGAAATCGCACACTGACTTCTAGGGTCACTTCAATAACGTCTCTTACCCACCACCAGACTGCAGCCCCCTTCTCACTCCGGAAGCCACAAGGTCCGCCGTCGGTCAATCATCCAGCTAGTGATTAAACATCACGGCCAACGGAGGCGGTTGCTTAAGTCGCAGGAAATGGCTAAAGCCCGGAAAAATTGTGGGGCACGTCAAATCACCGCGTGATCGTAAATAATGAACTTACGCCGACGTAAGTTCATCGTGTAGCGTGTTCCAGACTGTCGGGGCAAGTGCTGTTAGCGAGCAGCACCTGTGAAGGCCGGCACTGTGGCGCACGAGGGGGTGGGTGGCCAGCACCACGCCCGGCCGCCTTTGTCTCCCCCAGTGGCGATGTTTACCACACGCTGCACCAGGTACTCGTTTGAGGCTGAGTCGACCTCAGAGAGGCCCACGACCGGTTCACAAAGTCGTCACTCGTGTTGGCCATGAGCGTGAATCGAACTCGGGTCGCCGGGTTCGTAGCGCAGCGTAGCGCTAACCGCTACTACGCTACGCCTCGCCGCGTATATAACACAATCATACAATACGCATGCAGTAGACGTGAGACAAAATCATGAACGGATTTCCGTAACACATATCGCGAGCCTGAAACCGTGACAAGGTGTGACGAAGTGGTTCGCGTTGGGTGCTAATGGTAAAAAGTCTCACGACTTGGTGACCTCAAGTCCTCCGGGTCACCTACAAAAGAGATTCCACTTTGCGTATATGACACAACGGAGAGATGCAAGCGTGGAACGAAGTTGAGTGATGGGAAGAGGAACGCGCGGAATCGAGGATGTACACAAAATCAGAGACATACAAACTCCACAAGATGGTAAGTGGCACTCGGGCAGCACACTAAGACTAAACTAAAAACTAAACCATTGTTATATTTCACCAGGTAAGGAGGCCCACTCAGCTGCTATGTATCACAAATATAGCTCAACAAAGTGGGCGAATCATCATCAAGTGGAAATTAATGTCAGCCAAATACTCGAGTTGTCGATTTTAAATGTGGCGGGAAAATCCGGAAGACGCGGAAAAAAAATCCACGCGAACGCGGGGAGAGAGACACACAAACTACAAAAAATACAGCAGGCATCATCAGGGTCAGGATCAAACCCACGACCTACTCTATACCAGGCGAAGTAGTTAACATATCCTAGCCACCGTGGTGATGAAGAAAGAGAGAGAGACACGCAGACTCAAAATATACAGCAGGCGTCGTCAGGGTCGGGATCGAACTGACGAC